GGCGCCTGCGGCACCCCCCGCGGAGCCCCCTCTCGGTTCACGCCAGGAGGCCGCGGGGCCCTCCTCCGGCTCGTAAACGGGAAGAACCCCATCTTACTCTCTTTGGGCGTGATAAATAAATTTGGTGTTTCGTTAACTTACTTTTAACAGATCTAAATAGGAAACAGCCCCTAGAACCATTGTTCAGAACCTCTGTCGATTCCGATTAAATCTTCATTGACGTTGGAGAAAAAAACAGAGCAGCAAGTACTATAGTATATTGTTTAAAATGTATTTGTCTTATTTTCAAAGTATAGCGTCTGCCCCATCCTGAAAAGTAACCACTTATGGCAAAGAAACTATTATTCCAGCACTTAGAAATTCAGTGGGGGGGGAGGGAAGTCTAGAGACACTACTTATCGCTTACATTAACAAAACTGTTGCTTGTGGCATTGTTTACTGTTTGATACAATGATTTTTAGGGGGGGTGACAAAAGAAGTATACTAGCAGCTCTGAAGCAAATCCTTGAAATAAGTATTTGGCTTTGTACACTTACCTACTGTTCCTATCTCCTGTAGGTACTATAAGAACATGTCAGAAATTTCTAATTCAGTATAATAGAAGACAGCTGCTAATGCTATTGCAAAACTGCACAAATGAAGGTGAGTTGTTCCAGCTGTTTTCCTGAAGAACAGCCTCAATTCCTATGGGTTTTGTAGGATGTGCTGGGCTACTTCTAAATACTTGAGCTGAGAAATGTTTCTCTCTCTAGAAAGTAAAGATATTCCAGCATATGTGAAGAGATCAAGTAACAATATTGTTGCCCTTTCTTGCAGAGGAAAGACGGTCCGTACGGCAGTCGCTGCTCAGCTGCTCTCTTACAGAGGAGCAGCCCCAAAGCGGAGATGAGGAAGATGGTGACGACACAGAGACAGACTGAATATGTTATTACTGTTCACCTCTGTCATGGATTTGTGTCATCAAGATGTTAGAAATCACCTTCTTTGTGCTAAGCAAAACATGAGGGAAGATGCTCTTCCTGTCCCCTGTAGACTTCATTTCCCCTACCCCCTGTGTTTAAATAAACTTTTTTTTTTTTTAATGGCTTTATTCAAGCTAAGCACATTATGTGCCTGATTCACTCCAGGAGTCAAATCCTTCTGTACTCATAAAGAGTATAGCACCTCAATGTAGTCTTAATGTTGAGACAGAAGTGAGGCTTGGGCAGTTGGCATAGCCAAGGAATGGAGTTGTTCTTTAGAAAGGAAAGAGCATTAACATGGTTTTAAAACCTTGTCTTCAAGTGGAAAGTGTTGTTTTGAGTCACAAAAGTATCACTGTGCCTGTTCCAGAGTAGAGACTCTAGGGAATGTAACATAGAGCCATAAGTCTGAAATCCCTCCAACCACCTTATAAAACTCATAGGTACAGGTACTGCTTAGATATTTATTAAGTTTACACCAATCAGTTACAGGAAAGTAGTGCTGCTGGTAGCATCTCTTGAATCCATAGGAAAACAAGATACAATGTGAAGATGCTGGCTGATAAGAGACTCCCCCCATGGAAGGGCCACTCTTCCTTGCCAGCATTACTTCCCTTACTTGCTCCAGTGCCTGTGAGATGTGGAGGTGAGTTGTACCAGCTCAAACTATTCTGCTTCTCTTGCCAATGCAAAGAAGAAAAGCTTGCTACAAAGGTGAAGAGATAGTAGAACACAACAGATACTGGTTAGACAGTAAGTAGTTGCTCATGTTCTATGGCATAAGGATAGAAAACGGCTTGCTATTACAAGTAAGAAAAAAAAAATAGCATTGTGAACACCATTAACTGCATACTTGAATTGTTCTTGCTTAAGTTTCTTTTCTACTCTTGCCAATACTTTTCCACTATGCATTTAAAGCATAAACACCAAGCTGTGTTACCACTTTTAGGCACCTTGTCCTTGTTTGCACTGTCTTGACAAGCTGTACTGTCTTTCTGTGAGTGTAGTTAGTTGTGACCAAGTGTGACATTAAGCTGCTTTCAAATAATGTTTTGCAAGTATTTCCTCTATCCGTGTGCTCCTGTGGCAGCTGAAATATTTACCTCCAGTCTCTTCCTCCTTTCTAGTTTACAGCCACATGAAGAGTTTTGTGAAGTGTACTGTTAGGTAGCAGCTTCACACACGTGCACACACCCAGTTAAGTGCGTTGAAGTATTTGCATACTAGTGAGCCTATCTGAAATCAAGCATCAATGTATTAACATAAACCTTTTAAATAGGGACCAAACCAATGCATTTTAAATAGCTGACTACAAAAGTCTAGAACAGTAGGCTTCTGTATTCAGACTGGTGCTAGTGTCAAAGGGGCAGAGGACGGTCTGCTCCTTACAGTGAGCACGTGAACCATTCAAAGCCTTTGCAAATGTAGGCCATTCAAACCAACTGTCAGTGCAGGTGGAGCTGAAGGTAAGAGGAGGCACATGTCAGTCTTGCACTTTATACCAGCTCCTTGGAAGGAAAGATGTCACTAGGAAAGCAGAATTTGAGTGTCTGTAACTGAAGTGATATTATGCTTCAGGTTGATATGACAGTTTGGTTATAGCTCAGGAAGATGAAGTATTATTAATATGTGCATATGATTAATTGCAACTGTTGGCCTTCACTGGTACGTTACAGCTACAGTTCATTTTATTCAACAAAATCCACACCACTTAACTCATGAGCTTCAAATCAAACCATAAGCAGTGCAGAATGAGACCACCCAAAAAAAAGGAGGAGGGGTCCAGAAGAGGCATCTTTATAGCCCGAAGTACTTAGTGCTGACCATCTTGCCATCTCAGAACCAAGCAGGTACAGGCCCTTATCCCACTGCAAGGACTCTAGTTCCTTGCTGCAGGGATAAAGGTATCTACAGACATCAGCTATCAACTGTTCTTCCAATTCAAGAGCAGCCAGTGTCAAAAAATTATTCAGCTTAGTTACCAAGAGCCCTAGGGTGGAGTGCTTATTCCAGATGATAACAGGTTACAAAGAACTTGTAGCCTACTGTTGGCAAAAGTGGAAAAGAAAGAAAAAGAAAAAAGCAGCCTTACTCACCAACATTGAAACAGAGTAGCTGAACAACTGAAATAAGCCAGGAGGTTTCTTCTGCCACTAGTGCCAAATTGCATTTTGAAATACCCAAATTCAGCAAGAGTCACTTCAAAACCAAATAGCCAAGTTCTGCTTTTACACTCACCTCAGCTTTAAATCTTTCAGAGCCAGGAGAACAGGAGGAATTCTTACTCTTTAGAAAAAGAACAGATATAGCAGCTAACACTCCAAACCAGGAAGCTCTTTTGCCCATTTCCAGTGCAGTGGAAGCCAAAGTTTCCAAAGACAGCAGTGTTAACAGCTTTACTGAAACAGTACTACTGCCACAGTCAGATGGACTTCTCTCCATGAATACTTCTAAGTAAATGCTCTCTGCCTCTTCACTTAGGCAGTATTGCAGTACTCTGGCAGTGCCAGACAGCTGTACACGCTTTTAGACTGCATATCAGGCCAAAAAAAAAAAAAAAAAACTGACTTGGCACAGACCAGAAGCCTTGACTGAATGTTCTCCAGGTTGTTTCTTTCAAAACTTTTTTTTTTTTTTTTAAAAATACAAACTGATTGAGTAAGTTGAAATAAAAAGATCTTACTTTGACATACATTTCCATAGTTTCCCCCTGAACCCCCTAGAAGCCCTGGAAACACAGATTTAGTCTGTTCAAATTTAAATACTTAAACTATAGCAGCAAAACAAAGCAAAATGAAAAGAAAACCAGAAGGAGAGGGAACTTCTCTTGGATAGCAGAATCATTTTGTGTGAACAACAGAGGTGCTGAACAGTAGCTTCTGCTTCTGTTTCTTTCTTTTCTTGCCTCCTTTTTCCTCTGTGAAGAAAAAGGATACTGTCATTCATTTCCTGTGTAACACTCCTGTTCCATGAGAAGATAAACGGTCTTCCCTAGCCAAAATACCTTTTACAGGGCTGTAACGCTTCCCATAAAACTCACTAAGCACCAAATAGTTTAACTTGAAAAGAAAAAAGAAAAAAAAAATCATACACAGCAGACTCAAACTCTAAGGGAGACTCCATCACATAACCTTATTGTCATTTGGTCACATTTTGATCTCCTAAGACCTTTCTCTCATTGCCTAGAGAGGACAACTTCAGCATGGTTTGTTCCCACCACTTTTAATAGCTATGAACACATCTAAGTGGTTCCAATACTGCCAGTGCAGTGGCAGATAGGACGGTAAGCATGCAGCAGTTTGCTTTTCAGATAAGCATCACTTTCATCCTTGTTTGTAAAGCGCTACAACTGAAGAGAATACTCGCTTTCACTGAATTCCCAGCCCCTCCCCACAGTTCCCCATCATTCAGTGCAGCCTTCAAACAGAATATGAAAGCTGAAAACATCAAAACCGAGCATTCTAAGTTAGTTTTATCAGTTAGAACCATGCTTAGAGGTTAAAGTGATTATCGGCCAAAAGCCATCTTTGTCTTACCAGGATTCTTTGCTAGTTGGGGATCTTCTCAGCTCCCACTGAGAAAACAGCTACTTTAAGCTAACAGAAGCCCCAGTCAAGCTGTTCAGAAACCACTTTACAACCTGACATTGTGCAGAACTGTTCTGTAGCTCATTTTGGTCCCCCCAAATGCTCTTCTCACTTCTCCCCAAAGAAGAAAGTGAAATATTTAGTTTTCCCACTTCAGAAAACTCTCCTGCCTTTCTTTCCCCCCCTTTCCTTTTACCTGATAAAGGATTGGATGTGGATGGTTTGTCCAATTTCAGGAGGGCTGCCTCAATAGCTTGGCTGAAGGAATTTTGGAAGCTGGGCACAGGTATGCGGTCAGAGTTGTCACTTTCTCCATCACTATCCACCAGCACAGGGAGTGCCAGAGTGTTCTCATCTGCAAGAAAGGGAAGGGTCCTGAGAGACGAGGGCTGTATACAACCTTTGCAGTGCAAATACCTCTCTATACTCCAGATGTTTCTTGTAAAATCTTAAGACTTCCTAGATTTAGATGCATGCAAAAGAACCCAAAATAGTAAACCCAAGTTTTCTTACCTCTTGTCTTTGGACCAGGTTTGGACCATGTTTCTGCTTTTGCTTTTCCAACCCTCAACATCTACCAAAAAAAAAAAAAAAAAGAAAAATCTGATCAAGTCCATGTACCAGAACGATCCTGCACATCTCCAAAGTGGCAAGGAAATCTAGGAACCATTTCAGAATGCTCAAATACTGTGTTGCCTCTAAGATTTATCCTACATCGCTTTTGCAGGGGAAGCGATTGTGTTCTCAAACTTGTCCCCAAATAAGATGCAAGCAATTCTGACAAGATTTGCTCTGCTGCATGGCTTACCTGGGCAAAGGAAGGGAAGGGAGACTCTTCTTCTAAGCTCCCACAGAGCAAAGGGCTGACCTGGCTGGCAGCAGGTGACAGTGGAGTTGGAACAGGCTCTACAGCAAGAAGAATCAGGTAATTAGAGCCTCTTACATCGACAAAGACATTCATCATGCAGCTTATCAGCATGAAACAGAACCAAGAGTTTTAATATACTATACTATAATTGACAATTTTTAATCTCATCAGTTCCCTCCATCAGTCACACTGTGGGACCTCTCAAATGTTTCCTCAATGTTTTCATTTAAGGGAGATTTTTGAGGAGAAAAAACAAAATTAAATATAAACTATCCCTGAATGTTTTAAGAGTTGCAAGATAAAACATTTGGTAGAGCATCATTGGATAACAACCTCCTCAGCACTCATCCAGCTACATTTTATTTTAGTATAGCACGGGGGGAGATGGAAAGGGTAGAGAGAAAAAAAGCCAGTATTGTTTTCCTAGCATACACTATTGTCTGCTTCCCCTTTTTTGTTTTGTTTTTGGTTCTTGGTTTTTTTTTTTTTGTTTATTCCTTTTGTAATGTTACTTTTCTGCCTGGGCAAAGATTTAAGAGATGTACAACTACAGTGTAGTCCTCATATTGTTCCTAAAATGCAGCTAGTGAAAAGCAGACAGATGTCTCCTAGCAGTATCAACTTTTTGTGTGCTATCTAGTGGGTGATCTAGGAGAGAAGCAGCCTTGGATCCGTTTTAAGAAAGTTTAGCTTGATGACCTGAGCAGTAAATCTCCAAAGAACAATCAAGAGCTAGATGGAAGGCGTTTTCCCAGATGCTTACCTGTCTGAAACACAGGGCTCCTGCCAAGAGGAGACAGACAGAAGGTCTGATGATCAATGCTGGTAGTTTCTCCAGAGCAGGAGGTAAAAGCAGGGAACTGCTGCAGATTCTCTAAAGCAATATGGACCTCTGGATCTAGAAAGAGGTTTTAAAATCAAAGAACTAGGCAACATCAGGAAGACTGTCAATATGCAAGCTGTTTAAAGGACTCCAGGCAATGCCAGTGCAAAAATTTTCTTTACATCCTCTGTCTTAGAGACCAGAACAAGCCTTGCTGCTGGACAGAAACAATTCTTAGGCGGCTTTTTTTTTTTTTTTTTTAAATTTTTCCCTTTCCACTCCATACAGTGTTTGCTATAAAAACAGAAACCAAGAATCCCGAGCGCTACACGTCATGGAGAACGTGTCCTCAAACGCCTTCTGTCTTTCCCATAACGTGCAAGTACACAGGAACTGCGTAACATCATTTAACACCTTCACTAAAACAGCTTACATTTTCAATCTAAAAGTTGAGATTATTCTCTAACACCTTATAATCTTGTTCTAAGTAAATACTACAAACTAAAGGTCTTAGAGTTCATCCTATACCTCAAGAAATAAGCTCAACAACTGAAGATGGCTGGAAACCCACAAGTTACGATCAAGCAAGACTTACATTTGCCCTGTTTCTTGTTTTCTTCTATCTCAATTCTGCGTTCACGTCGCCGTTCATCACGAGCTTTCTTCTGTCGTAGGCGTTTCCTCTTTTCAAGGTCATCTAGGAGCAACAGAAAGCATTGGATATCAAAAACATACTAATGTTTTGGTAATGTTTTTCCAGCTTTGAGAACAACGTGTTCAGTTATAACACGTTAGTAAAACCTATTTACAAACAATGCACGTTCTTCCAGGCATTCAGGGCTTTTTTATTCTATGCTTAATTGCTATCTATACAAAACTGAACTGAGGTTCTCTCTCTAGTAGGCATCAGACAGTCGATGCAAGAGGAGTGAACCTGTTATTTACGTTCTTTCTTCTGCCATAAAAGGAAAAGAGCTACTCCTCCTTCATCCTCAAAGTTACATGATAAAGCCACCTAGAAAGGTAATACCAACCTGAAAACAACTCCAAAGTCTCCTTGGAAATGGTAGGTGGCTTCAGAGCCAGTTCACAAATACTAAACTCACAGGTGAGGGGCAAGTGACATAAGTAACGATGACGTTGTCTTATATCCTGAGGGGGGGGGAAAAAAATAAATAAATAAAATTGCAAACACCTAGTTGCAACAAGGTTAGAAGCTGCTATAATGACAAATTGCTTATGGAGCTAGTATACTCTCCTGTCACCAAATCAAATGGAAAAAAAGAAGGAACACTGACACAGTAAACACTTTTCATAAACTACAAAAACCACGAGGGATGCCTTGGGTCAGAACCAAATGATTCAGCATCTCTACCAACCACATTGTAATCATTTAGATATACTGGCTTCCAGCTCAGTTACCAATTTTCTTGCTATTTCTCCCTTCTCACTTGCATCATTGGAATGAAGCTCTACAATGCTGGTTCTTAGATAGGCTGATGTTCAGCCTATCCATTTCCCGTGATGCATTTATTCTTACACTAGAGGAAACCTGTCTTTTACACCAAAGTCCTTTTGATCACCAACTACTGCTTTGCTAGGCTGCAACAAGCCAAACTTTGTATTTTTCCCAGTAGAGCGGAAAAACGTGAACAGAAGTGCCTACTATCTCTTTGCACCCATTCTTATTCAAGTGCATCCCTTCTTGCATATGACCCAAGGGTTATGTATCATTGTTACTGGACATGCTAGTTCTTACAGTAGTCTCTGTCGCAGCTAAAGGAATCCAAGATCCACCCCCTCTTCTAGAACTTCAGTGCCTTAAGCACCCTTCATTGCCTTAAACCTGCCTCTATCTCGAACACTGAATCTGCGTTTGATCTTCTTACTCTACATAACATCCCGCCTCAACCCTCGATGTTCAGAGGGTTCAGCTGTTTGGGTCAAAAGAGTCGGAACACTACTTTGGGTTTAGAAAGATGATGAGATAGCCACTGTCTTATGCGAGAAGAGACTTTACACTTTTCTTTAAATTTAAGAGCAAACCAATCTTGAGCTTGCAATTCTCTTGCTCCTAAGCTTCCTAACATCTAGGAGGAGAAAGCAAGCCTGCTCATCAGAAACTACTGCAAAGCACTGCAGCTTACACAGATGTCCTTCACAGGATCAAGTGGATCTCATCTCTCTCAGGGCCTCATTCAGATTACCATGCTTAATACCTGTCATAGTCATTTCTTATTACCAAAAATAGGCAAGTCTCACCTGTCAGCCACAGCGATCAACCCACTAAAACAAGGG